TAGATACGTGGTTATATTTTAGGCTGCAGCTAAAATTGTGGATATTCATGACTGATAAATCGGCTGTGCCCATGTATCCTTTTCAGCCAGTTGTACAGGATGTTTGTTCACACTTGTCGATTCCGAGATTATTTTGTCAGGCAAACGGTCTAACAACATGTATGGTGGTTCATGATGCAGATAAGTCGCTTTTAGCCTAGCAGTAATTACGGAGGCGTTGTTTCCTTTTTTCTATCACGAAATATTAAAGTTTCTTTGAGAAAACTTTAAAATGACCTTCTAATGGAAGGCTAAGCGGTGCTTTTTCTTTGTCACACCTCATCCAAACGTCCGTGCAATTGCCTAGATCCTTAGGTACATATATGGCTCGTGATTGTTCTAGAGTATTAATTGGTTTGAGTTTGGACATATGGTTATGTAGTCCGTCTCCGTGTTTTTCTAAAATCAAGCTTTTTGCTGTCAATATGAGGGTTAATAACTCACTCGGTAATCTCATGGTTGTCCCGAAAACTAGTTCCGCTGCCGAACACTGTGAGTCAGTTTTGATAGCTGTTAGTATCCCCAACATAACTAATGGAAGGAATTCTGTGCATTGATTGAAGTTTGAGTGTGATGTAAGGGCAGCCTTTAGTTGACAGTGAAAACGTTCAACCATCCCATTAGTCTGAGGGTGATATGGACGACGAATTCTGTCGGGATCTAGAAGTTTAGCCAAGTTATTAAGTAGTTAAGATTCAAATTGTTCTCCGCTGTCCGTCGTTATTGTTTTAGATGTACCAAAAAACGATCAACGGTTCTACATGAAAACCGTGACCACTGCTTCGGCTGCGACTTCCGTTACCGGTATGGCTATAGGGAATCTTGTGAGTCGATCTATACATGTAAACAGATAATTAAAGCCGTTTAAATGCGGCAAAGAGCCTATTAAGTTGATGTGCACATGGTTGAAACGTGCATCTGGTTGTGAGAGAACACCGATGGGTGATGACTGACTTTTGACTGTTGACACGCCGAACACTAACCCATTTGTGTACATTTCTTTGTAAATTTGGCCACATATATCTGGTATTGTTTAGTTTAGCCGAAGCTAGACAAAGAATGAAAATCATTAAATACTAAACGTTGCATAATTTTGGGGACGAAAGGTCTCGGCATTACCTTGGTCGTGTCACAGCAAATAAAAAAAACCGTCAATAGGTTACTGGTTGCTGCTTTAGTTTGAGATAAGAGTTGTTTGTTGTAATTAGGTTTTGTAATTTGTGATCCTCTTCTTGTTTGTTCCTCAACATCTCGGAATTTACTGTAGATCGTAGTGTCACGTTCATTTCTAGTTGAAATAACGCATCTGCCACTTGATTTCCTGACCTTTTACTCGTTGGATATTACTTGTGAACTGTGATATGTAGTCAAGGTATCGAACTTCTCTAGATGAGTATTTATCGGCTCTCGCTTTTAGTGAGTCGGTCAGTGGTTTGTGATCCGTAAAACTTTGAAGTCCCTGCCTTCCAACATATGTCGGAAATGCTTAATGATTAGGTAGATTGCAAGAAGTTCTCGTCCGAAGGTAGAATATCTTACCTCTATTGGAGCGAGTCTTTTTGGGAATAAACCACTTGGTTTCCAGGAGTTTATAACAAGTTGGTTAAGGATACTGCCTACTGCTTTCTCCAAAGCATCTACCATAAAAGCGAATGGGGAAAAGGGAATCCAGATACATCAACGTAGATGCTTGAGTCAGTCTGTACTTTAGCTGTTTGATAGCTTAACAGCTTCAGAAGTCAACTTGGATTCTTTTGATTTTTTTTAAGTGAATCTGTCAAAGGTTGCATTAATTGTGCTAAACCGGGTATGAATCTGCGATAAAAGTTAACTAGACCTAGAAAACTTCTAACTTGTGTTAAAGAACTAGGTATGGGTTACTGTCTGATGGTATCCACTTTTTCTTTGATCGGTGAATTCTTTTTAAGCTTATTGTGTGCGCGAGAAATTTTAAGGTTCGGACACTGAAAACACACTTTGATGTATGTCCATTCCACTTTCATCTAAACGTTTTAACACTGTTCTTACATGATGTTCGTGTAATTGTGAATTGAAACTGGCAATTAACAAATCGTCTAAATACCGTCATGCAAATGGCATATCCCGAAGTAGGTTATCCGTGAATCTTTGAAGTGTTTGTACTGTGTTCCTCAGACTGAATGGCATGCGTATAAACTGGAACAATCCGAAAAGTGTGGTAATAACAGTCTTAGGGATATCTTCCCTAATTACTGGGATATTGTGCTACGCCCTAACCAAGTCAGTTTTAGTAAATATGTTTGTACCATGTAAACCGTCTGTAAAATCTTGGGTATGAAGTATTGAGTACCTATCTGGTGCGGTTTGACGGCTAAAGGCTCTGTAATCCCCGCCAGTTGTCTTCATTTTTCTTTGGGACCATATGCAAAGGGAATGTCTATTGACTATCAGAGAGATTTATAATATCCATGTATTGTAGCATGTGGTCGAATTCAGCTCTAGCGATTTTTAAGCTTTTTTGGAGCCAGTCTCCTGAGTCTTGCAAACACAAGTGCACCTTTGGCTTTGGTTGTATGACTTAGTTTGCGTTTGGAAGGCTGTGGGTTAGGTTTATTTAAGTGTGAAAATTCCGCGAGTATATCCTGGAATTTCGCTGTTGTTACTGGAGGAATTTGTTTAAAATTGAGAGATTTGATGTGACTTTCACTGTCTTTTGTGTAATTCAAAGTTTTTTTTCAGTGTCGAGTGTCGTTTTCTAGTGTCAAATAGAAATTCGTATCTCTCTAATACGTTCATCCTCAGTATTGCCAGATCTACATTGGCTACAGTGAAAACCCAGAGGAATTTCTTCCTGAACCATAAATCTAGAGATAAAGATTTCTGGTCAAATGTCGCGATTTTAGTTTTATTGGCAGCTTGAAGCGCAACTGGGAATGTTTCCCGACCCAGCTCAGTTTTTTTCCGAGGAATGATACTAAGAGTAGCGCCAGTATCCACTGAGAATTTAAAGCCAGAGTTTCTGTCTCTAACATAAAACAAACAACTGTTTACGTGCCCTTCCTCAGTTGTCGCGACCTGGATAGGGATTATTCGTTTCCCATATTCTTGGGGTTCCTTTTAGACCAGGCGCATTGTTGCCTGCATTGGTTGAGTTGACACCAAACCTGCGGCGGTACTAACAGAACTATCCAGATTAGCTGAACACTTGTGACTGTTTTGTAACTTGGATTTCGGTCGTTGTTGTGACCTGCTCCTGTTTCTATGGGACATTTCGCATTCTGGAGACAGCCTTATTGTGACTTTTAACACTCTCAATGAGTGTTTTTATGAATGAGTCTTCTGATGGTTGGTTGTTCCTGCGCCCACCATTCCCGACCCCCTCTGAGTGTTACATGCTGAGTTTCAATCTTCTCAGTATTTATATGTTCAACTTCGAGAATCGCTTGTTTATGAACCAACACCGCTACAAATATTTCATCTATTCACGATGGAGTATAATCCTTACGGAACCATCTAGAAAATCCGAAATCATGCACCATGGTTTGGGTCGGATATCTATCTATGTTGTTGCTATATTTAGCAAGGTTTCAGAAATTTCCAGTAGCACACGTTTGTGTGTAACTCTTTAAAAATTCTCGTTTACCGGCATTCGAACAAACCTGGGATGAAGCACAATTATGCACTTGGCACGTTTTTTCTTGTTCTCGAGTTGCCATATTTATCTATGCTAGGCTATTAAAGCGTCTAAAAAGTTGAATCAAGTGATTATCAATCAAAAGACATATAAGTACGTGCAAAAGTGACGCTTTCTTCGTCTTCCATCTGTTTGTACAAATAGACTAGAAATGATCACACCGTTCTTTTGAATTTAAATTTTCAGGAGCTAAATGGGCTTACTGGACTGACCGAAATTGAGATTGCGTGCCTGATCATAAATACTTTACTGACGTTTAAAAATTCTTAGAAGTAACACGCAAGGTCCTTGAAATTTGTTACATTACACCAAGGATGAAAACTTATTTGGGACGCAAAGTGAAGACTTTTCAGTTTCGCATTACACAACAGGCTTTAGTGTGTAATATTCTGATGTCTAGCTAGTAATTATGCGCCATCAATTATAGACGTATCCTTATTTTCGTGTAACTCTTAGTTGTACTTAATTTATTATCCAATTGATTATTGATTACCCAGCTTTCCTTGCGTTACTTCGACATTAGTCTTCATTTTCTAGAAAAACGTCTCCACGTGTTTAAAGATTTGCCCCCCCCTAGAATATGCAAGCATTCATCTGATTACACATTTTTACACTTCTTTCAAGAATTCGTATTTTCACAGGTACGACATCAAATCAATCGAGCGATCCCAAATATTTATTGCTGGTGTTTGCGGGTTTTACATGATTGTTGAAAACCTGCAATACAGTGAATTCATATCATTTCGCTTTTTGTTCCTAGTTTAGTTCGATCTCATGGCATCCACGTGCTTCGTTAAATTGGTTGTTGAATAATGATCAATAGTGTCTCATTCCGGTCAACGTCTTTGCGAAACTCAGATCTTCGGCATTTAACTTGTGCGCCTAATAGGTCCTTTATTTGTTTAAGAAAAACTTGAATCTAGCCTGATGCGGATAGTTATGTGATCCCTCTGTTGTCCTCACTCTTATTAAGACCTTTTTTCTTCGGTATCTTGATGAAGCACCTTATTTCAGACTTTCGACATGTTTACAGTTAATTATATGTCTGACTTCAGTACCTAAGCTGGTGAAGCAGTTTCAAAGGCCAGAGTAACTGCCTAACCAGGTGAAGTTGATAAGCTTGAGAAACTACATCTTAGATAGGAGACAACTCTTTCGCATGAAACACAAGTCTGAAGGGTGTACCTTTCTCGATACCTTGACTGTCAAACAGTTGAAAAATACTTCTTACAACGTGAATTGTGTTCTTTTGTTAATTTGACAAACTGCGCAACACTAAGGATATTCTGGAGCGCTTTTTGGTGTGCTTTCGATTGTACGGCTCTGTTTTCTCATGATGGTTTGTTTCTGAAATATGGTAAGTCAGTCTGACTATCTTCATACAAACGAATCTTAAATGACAAGTTTCCTGGTTGTTGCTCCAATATATATAATGTTATGTCGAAATGAGTTGTGTTTCTTGGTTAGTGGGGATCACAAATGGATCAGCTGTTCTCATATGTCCGTTGCTATCTTGCCTCTGATAGTAATTTTCATATCAAATTAAAACAGATTTGCCAAACGCTTTTCAGATTGATGCTTTGGCCCTTTAACTACTGAATGATGCCATTCTTGAACAAGCTCGTACACTTTCATAAAACTTTTGTTTGAATATTGAGAAAGCATATTTACACAAGTCTTGATTTTTATTTATGGCAGCGTTTTAGTCCATGCTTTTATATCCGCCGTCTAGTTAGCTATCCAACGTTCTGCTGTTGGAACTTAAATATTTAGACCCTTAAAGGGTACTATAGCCATCCCATGTGTTTGTGGAAATGAACAATTGAAACGTACTTGGTCACCAGCAGTAATTGCCTTTTGCGTTTGTACTTTTTTGTGCATGAAACGTGCTTGAGCATTAAGACAAGGTATGATTATTCTTTTATTAGTTTTAAGTACTAGGATATCGTTTGGAGATATAGATCAAGTAACTATGCTGATAGTACTAGTTAATTTTAACTTATTTTGTGATGCCCTACTTAGAGAAGGTACAAAACATCTAACGAAAAATTATTTCTGAACAGTGGGTAAAAACCATGTTTTAGTCCAACCAAACGACGAATTATTAATCATACCTTATAGTGCTTATCAATAAAAATGGGTGGTTATCAACAAGATGTTTGTTGAATATTTACATTCGTATCAAGAATAGTTGAGGTTTATAAAAACAAATATTCTCTTTGGATATCTTGTAATATTGGTATATACCAGACACTGCTGTTAATGTCAGCGCATGTGATTATGGACGAAGGTAGACTTGATACACTCGTGTCAAGTTCATCTGGAAAAGGTTAGCGTTTTAGTCATCATAGAAATCTCAATCTAAGAAACCATACCTTGTCTTGGTTTTCAGGGACTGACCTATATTACCTGGAAGTTCACTGAATAACTTAGAATACTTATGATATAGTTCTGTTCGGTGAAGGTGCTGGTATAATGCAGAGTATTATAACCTTAAGTAACAGTGCAAGCATTTAAGGTGTTTTTTCATCTCAATGTGAAATTTTGGTTTCGGACTGATCTGAATAATAAGATAGATTAATTGTTGGGAGTGAGGCATCTTGGTGTACCGACCACTAACCTTGGAAGTCTCTTTGACCCTAGTAAGTTGGTGACTAAAGAAACATTCATACTACAGAAAGCTTAGTTGGCTTTTGCATATCTACATCACTTGTCGCGTAGGTGAGATGTTCGTCTGTCAATCATACGGCGAGTATACTGTGTCAGTTAGCTCTGTCTTACTGTATGACCTTGAAACAGTTCCTGATAACAAAAGATGGATGGGCTGAAGATTTTTTGCCGTGTCTTCAAAACTCCCACTTTATCGTAAAACGATCGACTGAATAATGTTGAGTTTAGCCATATAGTACTAGGCAAATATGGAAAATCAGTAGATGAGATTATAGATTTTCGACTGATGTATTTAAGACGTGGCACTCATGCTTGACCACTATCTACTTTTACGGGCAATTTTTACCTTTGTAGGAATAGGTCGGAAGAATTGTAGGGGAGGCTACAAGAAGGCGTAGCATCAGAACATGAAATCACTGACTTGTTGTGAATCATGTTGGTAGACGTTGATCACCTGGTTGGAGTCTGCACGATAACTGCGTCCTTTTTTTAGACGGGTATAATGTCTTGAAATTGGTAATAATGGCTCATTTGCATTCATTCATTTTACTCTAGATCTTGAGCTTTATTATTCCTTGCTACATATCTTTGTCTTCTCTAACCATGTTATCAATCGCTAGTCTCCCACATTATCTACTACTACAGTATTTCTATTTATAATTTTATGTCATCTTGCTGATGTATTTTGGTCTAACGCATATATGTGCCAAACACTACGTTGATTATGACCGACTATTATGTTTCCTAGAATACTTTACCCGTTTTATTCAACTGCCGTAAGACGTTCACGTATTTGCATCATTAACACAATCTAGTCTTTGATTGGTGGGATATTTGTCAATAATTGTCAACTAACTTTCCCATAGTGGTTTGAATCCACAAAATTTGTAATCACAAAACGGTACTCTTCAGCAGTACGTAAATCTATAATTTTTAATGTAGTTTGTCTTGTAGCTTCTGCGATCAATTAGTAATAACTTTAAACTGTTGATATAGCTAGGTAAGCCGATCACTCAGTCTACCTGGACTCATTGTCGTATAGTCTCTCAGTACCTAACATGAATAAAAACAGCTCATGCAAAGTAGCGACATTCGCTTCAGGATGGTTTCCTAAGCCATTTGCTCAAAGTAATTAACGTTTGCTAATTAGATACTTGATAGTCATTGGGGGAAACGAATAGTACAGCAGGTTAGTTTTACTTTTGCTGTTGAAACTGTTACTGTTTTTGGGAACAAGGAGTAGTTTCATAAAGTTCTTATGGAACTCACTTTTTGGTATTTGGTCCTGTTCATTCGCTTTCCAATTCTGTTTGCGATTTTAATTTAAGAACTAACAGTTCCGTGCTGCTTCCACACAATAACTAAAATAATTCTTATTTGGTAGCTACTCCGTTAATTCTGCGTGTCCTGTTCAATGTCAGGAAGCCTCATTAGTCAGCGTGAAGAGCAGCCAGTGTTGGTCCTTACCTGTCAGCGAGATTCACACCCTTTTCAGGACCGCATAATTATACTAAATGAGATAATAAAAGTTGGACGTTCAGTGGCCCGCGCCAAACCTACAAAAACCAATGCGATCTTCGACTGCAAAGTCTTGTCGAGAAGTCATGCATTGATATGGCACAAAGGTGATCGGGTATGTTTTCGAATACTTTTAATCTCATTTACAGTTTTGGTTACGTGATACAAATAGTAGCAATGGAACTTTTGTCAATAACACAAGAATAGTGAAAAAAAATGATGAAGATTTTGCCGACCGTGAGATATTTTCCGGTGATATCATTCGTTTTGGAGTAGACGTCGTTGAACATGATAGTAATTTATATTTCGTTGCTTATATTTATTTGACCTTAGCAACTCACGGCTGCATCATAGCTCAAGTTGCTTTGTATCATCCTAATGGAACAGAAGCAAAACAAAGGTAAATAAATTATTAGTTTTATTCGCTTAGTAGCGTTGATTATGTCAGTAGTAATAATGCTTTGACTGGTATCGAGGCACTCCATACTGAACAAATGTTCCGCTTCACACATTACATTAGCGTATGTTTATTTGTTTAGTCATTCACTACTGGTTTTCAGGAGGCTTTATTTCGGGAACAAGTTCTGGACACAAAACTTGAGTCTATCAAACGGCTCCTACAAGAGGCACAAGAAATTTCTGAGGCTGGTTGGCAAGTAAGTCTAACCTTTCCGTCATTCTATCATTTAGGCTATGGTGGATGAAGATCGACTTTTGGAGAAGCTAAGTCTCTATGAAACTCAACTATCTTTATTGAAGCAAGTGAGTTGCCAGTTCACAACCATGTCTTTTAATATTAGTTTTGGATTTTGCATAAATACTTATATACTTCGGATTTGTGATATTTTTGTTGTTTCAAGGATTTGCCCGAGAATTCGTTACAGTCGCATCTAATGCAGGCTCTAGAAGAAAAATTTAATCTTGAGAAAGCCAGTAAAATAATGTTGGAACGCCTGTTAAACGAGAAAGCGGAAGTTTTTAGCAAAGCTACAGATCTTGAGGTACGTTCATGTTATTTTAGTTATGTGTACATTTCAGTCGAACAAGCATTAAGAACTAATGACTAAACTTATTTTCCCTCGTTCTGAGACTTTGGAAGAACCCATCACTTAAGTTCTTTCCGAAGATCCATGAATTCTTCAATCACAGTGACCTTTGAAACACTAAACCTATGTATAATGAGTTCTTCCTAAACGTCAAACCATAACTGTCGGACTCCGATAAGCATGCCTGTCCTAAGATTTGACGAATGGTGAGTATATTGTCGATGTAGCCACGACCAGGTCTAAAGCCAGCCTGATTTTCTCGTGTTTGCAGTTTACGAGTCTTTGTTAGGCGTCCGATAACTATTGAGGTTAGTATTTTAGATGCTATGTTGGTCAAACTAATCCCTCTATGGTTATCAGAGAATGATTTTGACCTCTTTTTTATATTGGGACAATCAGTGATTGCGACCAGTCAGATGGGATTACGTCCAACTCCCAGATTTTAGCTAAAATATTAGTCAACCTAATCTCTCAAACTGGACCACCATTCTTAAAGTCCTCTGGAGCCAATCCATATGGACCAGCTGCTCTTCCTCGTTTCAGATTAGTTATAGCCTTTTGAACTTCAGCTAGAGTCGAGGGATCTACTTCAATGTTCCATTCAGGCTGTCTAGGAATGGTAGGTAGTTGTAAAGTAGCTGAAGGTCAGTTGAACTGTTCCTTAGAATGTTCCGCCCATCGTTCTAAACGTCTTGACTGGGAGCAGATAAGAGTGCCGTCGTTTTCTGAGATAGCCTCACTTACACTTGACTTATTAATTCTAGTTTCTTTTTTAGTCTGTAGAGCTGTACTGTGTTACCTACAACCGCTGCCATTTCCATCTCTTTTGCTTTCGTTGCTCACCACTACTCGCGGTCGTTTTTATACCTGCCAGTCCACGAGGACTAGCTATCGGGTCGCCAAATAAACGGAGGGTGTATCTCGTCGGCTCCCCCTTGTGGCGAGTTAAGGTCAAGCGAACGACCATATTAGGATCCTGTATGCGTGTTTCGGAGACAGCATGCATCAATGGTACGAGATTCACTGTTATGCTGGTTGTCTGAAGGGAACACCTTACTGCCGTCACAACTCTGTACAGTCGGCAGTACGACTTCGCCCTCGGACCTTGGGTTTGCTGCTCTTCAACCGACCTGTCTTGCATAGTAGGACCTTGAGGAATGATTGTCCCGACCAGCATAGCTCGATTGGTTCATCACGATAGGCAAGCCTGATCACCACGTTAAGGTAGCAGCAACGGTATTCATGTGCTTTATATTTAATTGTAATTTCTAAAGGAATATGAACCACTTTTTAAGTTCTTGTTTATGAGTCTGATACAATTTTAAAGACTGTTGATGTGGCACTCGACCAAACTTCACGTATATTTAATAAGTCATACTAGGTAATAAGGCCTGTTCATGTTTTGTTTTGGTGTCATTTACGATCAGAAGTCTTTCGGTCAGTCAGCTACAACGTAGGACCAGGCACATTTATGCATCGGTCCAAGTTGCCATACCACATTAACACAACAAGATGGACACCGGATTCATAAAAGTAGTTAATTCAGAGGTGGTAATATATAAAAGAAGGATTGCAATAAGGATATGAAGTCTTTCATGCACACCGAAATCCAGTCGTGGTAAAATTATTGGGAATACAAAGAATCTAGATTTGATTTTAATTATTTATTCAGTTTTTATCGATTGTATAATTCTGTTTTTACCTGACAGTACGTAACTTCTCATCAATTTCCACATGTATTCATACTAAAAGAACAATGTCACTTATTCTTAACGTATAAATTTATGTATGAAATCACTAACCAAGCTTGGTTTTTTAGTTTTAATGCGGAAATAGATTGGCTTTTATAAATTCTCTATATCCACGAAAATGTATTCATGTTGTAGCATTCTTTGGTCGTGTCTCAAAAAGAGTGCATTCGCCTTCGTCAAGACTACGAAAATATCCAAGAAGCGTACCAGAATTTGGCAAATGATAGGCAGTCGAAGCAAGTAGCATCAGAGGGATCAAAGGTAAGCTTTAGAAAAGTCAAGGCTCTATTTCCTTGTTGGTTAGTTGCATTTATAAATCAATTTATCAAGTTTTATGGTCTATATTTTGCCATCAGTTCAACACACTTTTGCTTGCGATCACTTGTACAATTAAAAATACACTGAAAGTACAACGTCCATAATCATGCTCAATACGTTTTATGTTTTGTTGTGAGTTTTGCTGTTGACCTTTTTCTGGTTTCAGTAATGCAGAAAGATTTTACGATTGGAATGAATCCCCGGTATATAAGGTATAAAATTAATATGAAACTCGATTCTTCAGGAAAGAAATGAGTAGACAAATCTACGATACTATGACCAATTCTCAATCATGCTGCTCGACGTCTCAAACAGCTAGTCGTGAAAACTGTCTTTACTCCGAACTAGTAGTCTGCACCTAACAATACTCAGAGCCAACAGTCCATGATTACCAAGACTGATGGTACTTCTTGATTTGACCACCGTAGCCTCCTACCAGTCTATTTGTTGAGTCGGCTTCCGAGAACTACAATGGAGCCTCCAGAGGCCCTAAAGGAAAATTCTCCGGCTCCTATAGGGCCTCTAGAGGCTCCGTTGTAGTTCTCGGAAGCCGACTCAACACCTCCCCCGAATAAGATTTCTTTCTAGGATCCACTTGTAGCTTGATAACTGGTTTCCAGTGGCGTCCCATTGTTCTTGTTGTCTTCCTTGTCCGAGGCTTCTTTTCAGTGTCCTTGGGCATATGTAAAGTTGATGTGTCGAAGATTAACTCTAACGGAAGATTCGGCTGGTTATTTTGAGTCTGCCAAGGGTTAGGGAATTTGAAGCATGATACCTCGATGGTAGAGAACGGTAACCGTTTCCTTAACGTCAATGCAGTCGAGAGAAAAGTTTCACAAGGTTCCAGTACGCATAATTATCGTAATGACGGTGACAAACCACCATCTCCATCCTGGTCTGTGTGGCGCATATGTATTTGGTGCCTGCTTGTACCAATATTTATGTGGCATTGCTCCACTACCTTGTAGAGCAATGCCAAGAGATGCAGTCCCATGGTATCCTGTATTTCTTGAAGTAGGATTTTGCAGAATATCGTTTGTGGTTTCTTTTTCTGCAGCCGGTTTCTATATGGCACTTCCAACGACAATTACTGCAACAATGTTCTTTAAACGGGCAGAACCTCTTGTAATGCCAACCTCCACAAGACCAGCATGGAGATGATGGTTTGTCACTGTCATTACGATAATTATGTGTACTGGAACCTTGTGAAACTTTTCTCTTGACTGCATTAACGTTAGGGAAACGGTTACTGCTCTCTACCATCGAGGTATCATGCTTCAAATTCACTAAACCTTGGCATTCGGTAGTTACTTCCTGCAGCATCATATTGGGGCAGTGTTCGAGCTTGCTTAGGATTCTTGTTCGGATGTCAGCATCTTCGGGTGAACGCAGGCTACAGACAAGTACTAGGCATTTAAACTGGTCTTCAGTCATGGAAGACAACTTGAACCTCTCACACTCTCGGTTCACAATTCCTGCATGTTTCATCCAGTCATCTGGTTCTTTCGTTATCTTCAAGCATTGGTAACGGATATTAAAAAGAGATGACTGTTCTCCAAAGATTTGAGACAGAGTTTTAATTGTTTCATCAAAACTATAGTCTCGTGGGTTCTTCGGGAGAATGAAGTTACTGTAGCGATCATGTTCCATTGTCTCAAGTTTTCTTAGACGTATTTTGACTTTTGAGGTGTCATGAAGTCTGCAGAGACCAATACAGAGCAAATTTTCATATTTCTTAAACCAAGAATCAAAAGTTACACCTGCTGCAACATCAAAATTAAATTCGTGAATGGCATTAATGACTGAATCAGTATGAGATACTTGCGATTCACCAAAAGCAGGGTTTTGCTGGTCAAATCCAAGGAAAAATGTTTCTGATTATTGTGGATGCATTTACTAAGTGGCCAGAAGCATATACCATGCCCAATTGTACAACATTAGAAACAGTCCACAAGTTGTCTACCTTGTTTAGCTGCTTCGGAGTTCCAGAGACCTTAGTAACTGATAATGGCTCGCAATTAATCTCAGAATCGTTTAAGTATTTCTGTAGCACAAATGGAATAACTCATCTTTGTTCTCCGCCCTATCATCCGCAGTCGAACGGACAAGCAGAACGTTTTGTGAACACTTTTAAACGAGCATTACTGAAAGGGGGAGGCGAAGGGACAACTGGACAGATAATCACAAAATTTTTAACATCCTACAGAACCACTCCGAACCCAAATGTTCCAGATGGTAATTTTCCTGCTGACGCCATGTTCGGAAGGCGTATTCGGACCGTTTTCAACGTCATGTCGCCATCCAAATTAGTGGATGAGCACAGTTACAATCCAAATATCTGGAGCCTTAATGTTGGCGACGAAGTTTTCATTAAATCCTACCTCGGGAAGAACCTATGGGAGCTAGGAAAAGTTGTACAAAAATTGGGAAAAGTTTTGTACAGAGTCCAAGGAACTTTTGGAACATGTATATGACATACAAATCAGATCCATAAAGACAAAAGAACGTGCAGACTCAAAATAACCAGCCGAATCTTCCGTTAGAGTTAATCTTCGACACATCAACTTTACATATGCCCAAGGACACTGAAAAGAAGCCTCGGACAAGGAAGACAACAAGAACAATGGGACGCCACTGGAAACCAGTTATCAAGCTACAAGTGGATCCTAGAAAGAAATCTTATTCGGGGGAGGTGTTGAGTCGGCTTCCGAAAACTACAACGGAGCCTCTAGAGGCCCTATAAGAGCCGAAGAGTTTCAGCTAATCAGAGCATGAGGAAGCTTTCTAGAATATCAACATGGTATACTACTATTGGTCAGTAGCATAGTATATTTCTTAGGGGATTGGCCAAGTTATAATGTTGATTTGACAAACGCTGATAATCTATAAATACCCTTGTTTTTCTGTACGAAAACGAACCTTTGGAGTAAAGTGCTTTTCTCTTAATTTGCGCCTTTTCCCTCGTGTTCAGGTCGCTGCGTATTTTCAGTTTGGAGGGGGGGTTACTAGAGTAGCTCAGGAACCGAATAAAGCGTTGAAATTAGCAAGACTTACCACTATTCTTATGCCAACTAATATTGGACATTAAGGCGTGCGTATTTAGGCACCTTTTTGACCTAGTATTTTAGTCGTAAATCCTTTTGGCGCTGTACATGTCGACGAGACATTTTTCCATCGTCATAGACGCGATTAGTTTAATATAGACAAGAGATATCACTCTTGATCCCCACATATAGTTTCCGAAGATTTCAGTCGAATCTTATATCAGAAAATGCCTATAAAGCAGTTATTGGGTTACACATAACTGTTCAAATAGGTTATGACTCCTAAATGAATTGGAAATTATTCAAACTGCATTTGAATTATCCAACCGACTTAGTTGTCATGGCGGAACCTAAAGAGATGATGTAGCTCTGTTTGATCATCACGGTTAAGAATCACAATCATCACATCAAGGTAGCAGCTACAGACGGACCTCTTCTTAACTCTACCCATGATTTTTATCCAAAACGAAGTAAAACCAGTAGTATTGTCTAGTGCAAATTCAAACATACTACTGGTTTGATAATTATATTTTTTGTTATATCTCAATGAGTAGAAAAGTTGTATTTTTGACGTTTCTTGACTTAGTGTAAGCTACTTCAGAGTAAATAAATAACCGAATATAATTAACACAAGTTTAAATAGTACCGTTTAGGATTGTGTTATTAACTTTCTACTAAAAGCTTGATATTTCAATAAATGCAACTACCCATTAGTGTTGCTTTGACAAAATCACCCTTTACTGTTAAGTGATACTAACTTCAAAACTAATATTTAACGATTCTCATACTAGAAGTGAAACAATGAGATAATGTAAGCTATATGATTTTGTCTTATGAAAAAATGTCAAAATTTCATAGTTAAGATTCTCTAATAATTTTGTCGCTGTCTTGGTTTTCTATGGTCTTTAGTTCTAATAAATCAGATTACTAAACATAGTATCACTTTTTACTAAGGGTAGTTTCAACGCGAAGATCTTAAATAGCTTTCTTAATACTTCGATATAATGTTAGGAATATACAGATCACGAACTGTTTTGATTTATGTATACATTGTCCAGCCTTTTTAGTCTGGATAGTTTTACCTTTCTTGTTGCTATATATATTTCAGTCATTAACACCATTTGAAAAAAAATGTTTGACTTGAAACTACTATCAGACATTCATTTTTGCTTTGACTGGAATCAGTTATTAGTTCTATTAGGTCCCATTGCTATCGTTGTAAAGGTATGTCGAGTTGTATCTTAATCGGTCCCTGGTTCATGCACTTAATTGTAATCACATAATAAACTATTTCTGGAATGTATAATGTTTTCACCTTACCAGCAATTGTTTATCTTATTTATTTATTTGAACACATAAGTATTGGTACAAAGGGCACCGAATACATATGTGCCACACAAGTCACTTAATTTGTGTGTGGGCTATGATACTGCCCGGGTGCCCAGACCGAAGCAAGTGATTTTCTTAGGGGGCCACACCCGGAGCCTCCGACCTACAGGTCTGATCCACAAGGTAGTGGAGCAATGCCAAGAGATGCAGTCCCATGGTATCCGGTGACTAACAATTGGTTCATACGTCATTTGTTCCTTCAGGATCCTGGAGCCTATGTGCACCATTGGTTTGGAATCAGGGTTTCCCAACTCCCCTAAGTGAACCCTTCGTATCAACCAACCCGGTTAAAGCGCCAGACATTCACTTTTCGTCCTCTCAATTTCGTAAACAACACCCGTGGTGCGAGAAGGCAGTGAGTAGGACTTCCCTCGAAATAGCTGTATACGTGTGGCCATGTGAGAGTATTTTGAGAGGAAGAGCTGACTCTCCTCACCCTCGGCCGTACCAGGGTATTTGGGAACATAATAAAGGGGCGGATTTGTATGCATATAACATACAATTCTCTTTGAACCTAGCACACAACAATAAAGTTCTTTATCCAGGAACTTTTTTTTAGTTTCTAATCGATTACATGATTATCATTCTTTTAATTTATGAAATTTTGTTTAGCTCACGATTCTTCACATGTTACCACTTGTATTGTAAAATCTGACATTTCATTTTTTTTCAGTAAATTTTAGAGATTTAAGTACAATTCATGTACTGACAAATCACTCCGTAGCTAACTTTGCTTAAATATTACTATTACTAATCATATGAGCTCTTAACGTTGCTTTTTACTTAACTTGATCTGGACAGCTAAATGATATTGTAAGCTCGAATAAATGTCTATTTGTACAGTCTAGATTGGGAACATGTAGGCATTTTATGCGCTGCATTAGGTGTCCAATATGTGTTCGAGTAAGATGATAAGTCGCAAACGGTTTTTAACATAAAACAAACAATTAGTTTGTTTGTTAACTAACTGTCAAAATCATATTTTCATGTTATACTTTGATTTTATTCGAATTCAGGAAAGCAAAATCGAAAAATCTGATGTGAAAGTCGAGACTGACCAACTTAAAGATGAAAAAGTGCTTGGAAAAGTTTTCGACCAGTTTCTATATTCTGATCATAGAGCAAATAATAGACAAGCCCTTGATAGCCATAACGGTAATGGTAAGGATTCTCAGTAATGTTTTTTATCTTATTTAATAGAACTAGCTGTTTGATTTCATTTGACATCTAAGATAAACAAGAATGACTCGTATCTTAATGACTTCCTAAAAACATTTTTTGGGTAACTAAAATTTTCCAGATTTGAATCCAATGGTTTGTGATTAATTTATCCCGACTTACGTATATCCTAAATCAAACTAAGATAAAGTGAAGTTTGAATGTTCAATAGGTGTTTCTATTAAGGACAAAGCAATATTATCCTGCTTAGTTTAATATAAAATAACTTAATACAAAAAAATTATTCAGCCATATCACTGATAAGTTCATAGCTAAATCTCTAAGTATTTCCCAACTTTTCACAGTGAGGAAGTTGACAATATTTAAATGTATATAAAGCATCAACCGAATTAATAATGTAGGTAGGTTGATTATTTATGTTTATGCGAAGTACTGACCTAATTAGTGATGTACATATAATCACTACCTCGGTATTATTCATTCGTATCTGGTGTTTTACTTTTTTTCAAAACAGTTGTTCCACAGATCACTAACAGCACAGAATTCTGTTATATCTGTTTACACAGTCCGTTCAACAAATGCGCAAACTGAAGTGGGATGAACTTAGTTTTCACAAATTATAGGATTCATCATTACTATTCCCTTCAAAACATTTTTCATTTGTGGCAGTACACTTGTCTTATCTGCGATTTCACTATCCAGAAATCCCTGAAAGCTCTCAGAACTCGATATTTTGCATTGTTTCGTCTTCTCACATTTTGCTAGAATCGTATGCACTAACAGGTTTTCCAAATTCAATCAATCAGGAATCATCCTGATAGTGAATCAACAGTCAGAAACCAAAAGTTCTCATACATCCAGTGTTTTCACCAAAAGAAACGTGCCATCCTCCATAAAGAGCTTTTAGTACTTCAATTTTCGTGCATAAGTAAAATACACCATCATTAGAAATGTTGATTTGTCAACCAGATATCTTGCATTGGTAAATCATTGACAGACGTTTCTTGACTGAGCTCATTTTCCTGGCTTAGTAGCTGGATATTAAGATTTTAATTAATATGTAAATAGTATGTGAATTTATGGTTAGCTGTAACAACAGTACAAATTTGCGATCATTAGATTTCCTAATTCTAAGCTTTTTTTTCAGATGCAAACATTCTTATGAATGGTTTAGACAATGGCATTTCGAAAATCCCTGAGAATTATGATGGTTAGTATATTTCTTTTTTTCTTGCTGAATTTATGCATTACCTATCTGTTCATTTATCTATTTTTGCTAAAAAAGATTCGGTATAGATAGACGCTGAAAAATACTTCACAATTGACGAAGTATCAGTTATGAGAAATAAAACAGGAAATCATCTATTAATAAGATAGAAAAGTAATATTTAGAGAATCAGCTCAAATAACGAAACATTTAAAATCAGTTTCTTTTTCCCCAGAATATATACTTCAAAGGAACTAACGGTAACTACAACAGGTTTTCCGATGATATTAATTGAATCCTACTTCCAGGAATCTATGGGGATACTTGTAATATGTAAAAAGAGTGCTAATACCTATCATTTTGTAATATCATCCCCCAAACTGACTGCCGCTTTACTTTCATTCAGTTTATGTGTCATCAAATTGTATCCTGTTGATTCGTGACACTTTGGCGTTCGTAATACGAAAATTAATCCAGTCTTCCAAATCGTTTCCAGGTTCACCCAACTAACTAGACACATGAACTCTTCAACAATAAGGTTGCAGAAATAGTGCCATACAAACATTTCATATAACTTTAGCCACTAACTGGTAAAATGACTTTTATAAACTTCGTCTAGGTATCCGTCTAGCTTTGGTAAATCCCTCAGACTGGAAAAAGTTCACAACATTTGGTATCACTGGCTGAAACACTTGTATATTGTCCTGGAATGTGCAATAACTTCATTCATTGACTTAATCGTTCATCCAACATAAATATCTGTATTAATCTAATAAAACTGGGCAAGCTAGCAGCGTAGTCATTAAAACGTTTAAAAATATACTCTAGGAGTTTGAATATTGACATATGTTAAATTATTAGTGTTTGACTGGTTTTCTACATCGTACTCATCAAACGTAACCTCAAACATATCAACATTAGAATTAGTGACATCATCATTAGTCATGCATTAGCTATATGCATGAGCTTACAACCTTTAACAAAAAACAGGGATTGATGATGATGTACAGTATTGAGCCGCCAAATAAAATTCTCACTTCCAAATTTTTCTTGTTATCTATCAATTATCAATGCGATCTCAGAGTTTTATGGTTATAGAGAGGGGAATGGTTTATTTTAGTGTTTGTGTGAAATCCAACTTCTAAACTTAGAATGCAGTTGTATTGTGGCATACTGAAGAGAGATATGTATAATTTGAAGATAATTTTATTGTTCATTGACGTACGTTGGATAGAAAGTGAAAACCTAACAGCACTGGAGATGTTTCTTAGGCTCTTTAGTCGTACGCAAGGAAACATAATGAACTCCTGCCTTTCAGCTAACCAGTATGTCAGATAACAACTATGCGTTTTACACACATGGTCATGTGATTTTATTTTAAATGAAGCTTACTTTGTTCCTAAAAATATCATATTTGAAGTCAGTTCAGTTTTAAGTAAATCAACTTTTCATGCTCTTAAGGGTTTGTAAATCTGGATTCTGATAAATTTCGAAGAATAAAATCGTCTGTATTCCTTATTCTTAATACTATTGAATATCAAAATCAAGAGTCATTAAAGAGATCTTCATTCAACGAATTTACGATACAGCTTGTTAGGAAATTAATTAGAAACAAATAGTTTCTCTGAGTTTATTTTCGTTGATGAATAATCCATTTTCACTTGTAGTCAAGTGTTTGCTTATCTTTTGATGGAGAGAACTGAGGTTTTATGTTGTTGGCAATAGTAGTAATATCGCGTTTTATTTTGTGTCATTTTTTCGCATAATTCAGAGATATTTTTCTTCATCAAAGTCATATTCGTCGAGAAGTCGACGAAGTTAGCAGTATGATCAAGTCGGATTTAGTGACTTTAGTAGAGCTCCGTTATTTGTTAAGTTAACGTTGTCGACAGTCCGGCAGTAGTTGACTGAGCATATTAAATAAGTATTGTGAAATATCACAAATTAAATGAAATGTAGTATAGATTTTTTGGATTCCAAGTTAGTGATAGAATGATGTGTTGTCGGTCGACCCTGGAAGCTTTTGGTTCAATGCAATCTCTTTATTAGTTAGTCCGTCACTGGGACGGAACAGCTTTATACTTTTCCTGTTTTTTTTATAAATAATTCTTCGGTCAATGTTGGTTCGTCATGAAAAATCTGTTCAAAATAAGTTAAGCAATCCGAATTTGGATTTTGAGTTTATAATTGTTGTTTGTTATTGATCGCATAATAACTAGAGATATTCTTACTCATGAGAAATCATACCTACATTCTGAGTATTTTCAGTTCTGCATTTTATATACTGATGTATTTCTGGATGTTTTATTTTTTGTTTGCTTTTACTGTAATGTAAATACATTATCTTATTTTTTAGATAACTTAAATAATATCAACGAACGATTCGGTATGCAAAATAATTTCGATTTATTGAAATCATCGGGACCTGATAATTTCTTCGGTGTTCAAGGTTAGTGATAGTTTATGCTGTTTGTGTTTCAGTGTTCCCACCGCTTTATTAATTTATTTGAAGTTCGAAGAACTCAGAACCATCGGAAATAAGTTCTTCATGAATAATCAGATTTCCGGGTTATTTTGAGTAATAAGAGAACTGAATAGACTTTTGTTAATACGGTCTTAATCTCAAATTCTAACTTAATTTACTAATAATAGAGTAGAATTCTATGAACATGGCACTCATATCTTGTAATTTCTTCAAATGGTTGAATTCGATTATTTTGACTAATATCATCCATCTTAGATTAAATAACTTTTGATAATTAGTCATATAAATGCAAATAGATTTATTATTCTTGTTAATATCTGAGATTTTTGAACTTTTACGAATAAAAATAAAGAGAACAATTGTTTTGTTCTTCTTAAGAACATAAAGACTGTCTTTTTAGGCAACATATACTTCTATAGGTATCATAACAAGGTTCGATTTGATAATTTCGAATAAATTAAGTATTGGGTAGATTGTTATAAATAAATAATATATTCGTAATATCCCAATGAAGAAGTGGCTTACACTAAGTCACGAAATGTCAGAAAGTCCAATTTTTTATAACATATACTTCTGTTTGGATACTTAATTTTGCTGTTTGTTTTTTAGGGCAACATGTCACCACAAATGATGAATCTCATAACGGTCATACATCTATTCGGATAATTGAAGGTATTCGGCTTTTCAATAAATCAAATCAATTAATCAAATTGCTCCAAGGTATGAATAAATACTGTGTAGTGTTTACCTTTATTATACCCTTTTTCATTAATTTCCGGAAAACTGAACTTTACCTCATGTTTATTGTCATTTTCAAATTTGTGGTTGATGATTAAGCGCTTCATAAGACTCTTTAAGCTGATCAAGGATGAAGTTGATAGGTTTTTCCCTGTATTAATTACATAGAATAAATGAAATTTATTTCGTATTGACACATAGTTGGGATAATCTAAACTCGTCTACTATTTAAGAAATTCGGGATCACGTTTTAAAACATCGCTATTTCAATTTCTATTAACATAAAGTTAGGTGAGTCTACTACATTTCCTGTCTTCAACTAACCAACACATTTCGGTTATCTGTAATTAATAACAAAAGTAAACTTAGGTACAATATGCATCGCAAGACAGCTGTAGAAAATCGTGTACAGAAGCGAAAACAACCATTTATCTACTTATGTACGAAGTTAACTATTTACAAAATTTTATCCTCTTGTATCTCCCAGGGTTATTGATCGATTAAAGAGTGACAATCCACCTTGTCTAGATCATTTTTGTATTGAAATTATCAAGCTAATTCAGAAAGAGTCTGTCTTTCTAGTACAAGGATACTTTGATAAATAATTTTGTGACCACTTCTAAGTTCTTGCTGTAATAACTTGATACATTTATACATTCTGGGGAATTCCATTTGCCCTTGTTTTAATAATCAGATTATATTTGGATACCTTTCGATGTCAAACAGTATAGATGTACAGAGATATTATTTCGGCAGTGATGAAGTATATATTTATATAGATTTACTTTGTTAGATATGTCGCATGTAGATTACCTTGAGCTCTATTATAGTTAAATATTATAAATCGAAGTAATTTTTATCTATGAATTCAACAGTAAAATAAATACTTAACACTATATGTTATAACGCTTGGTTTTCCTCGTCTACATGAATTGGACGCTAATTTGCCTTAGACGAATATCTATACTAGATACCCTCCCAGTGTCTGTTCTACCAGAATTCAACACAACTCAGATCAAGAACACGTGATTAGCCTGACTAGAACGTAAGTATATTTCCGCATCAAAGCCTGACAATAATAATAATAATAATAAGGGTAAAAGAATATATAACTTATTTGTACCTGTCAGACTATCTGCTAGTCTGATTAAACAAACAACGAATCATTATCATTCTCGCCCACACATCACTATGTGATCATTTTATGTTGCTACCTTTTGGCTTTTTTATAAAAGTACTGATAGGGAAATTTTTCAGAGTTTATCCTTTAGTTCTTATAATCATATTTAAGAAAAAACGCTTTACAATTTATTCATTTAGATGAATTAAGTATTTTGGCTAAGATAAAAAGGTCAAATGAATCAACTCTTTCCTTACCGGTGAATTCTGATCCAGCTACAAACAATATTGATTCTTTTGAGTCTCTTGATAATGTTGATCCTGATAAAACTTCATTGAAAAGACTCGATGTTGTTAATTGTAAAGAAAATAATTTTGAAATTGCCTTACAACGTGCAACAGAGTATGCTACTTTAGTTGCTAATCTTCAACGTCGTGTGGGTGCTGATTTAAATTCTTTGTGTTTACCACCGAATCTTCATAATAATGCTGATATTTTTAATATTCACAGTAAGTTTTCAATGTGTTTTACGTCAGTAAATCACTGTATTCTGATTCATCACTTTATTGAACAAACCAGTGTGCATATTTTATACATGAAATTAAATTCTTTCTTCTTATGGTCCATACTTTTACAAAAAGGTTTCCAAATTTGAATAAAACAGCAAACAGTTTTTCTATAGTAGTGGGATGGATAATTAATTGTTATTCTATGTACTATTTATTCACCACACTAATTGACACTAAAGAGTAACTAACCATGTACACACTGGTGACTAACTTCATGACTAGTTTCCAGGAGTCCTAGTGACCTTAACCATATCAAAAGTGAGAGGGATATAGCCTATAACTATGAATAATCTCTGTGCTTATGACACGGATTGACCAGAATTTGAAATATAGACAGTCGGATTCCGATTTAATATTCTTGAGGTAATGGACTCACTTGATATCTAGTGGTCATGGGTCAAGTTCTTAGTAAGACAGGTTGTAAGTGTTAACTGCTAAATCCCAGATTAATAACTGTCATCCTGTAATTGCTCTTCACCACTATCTTTTTAGATGATTTATGTATACCTCCTGCCGAATTCAGGACGACTCATATAACTAAAATGGATGTTTGTCTAGGAACAGAAACACTTGCCGATCATATTCAATCTACTGAAGTGGATGGGACAGCCAACCAGAAAGTTGAAACTAATCACTTGCAAGCGTACAAAATGGATAAAGATTCACATACAGATGAAGAACTTTCAAAACTACACAGTGAGTATTGTTTATGATCATTAAGTACTATTGTGATCTCTAATAATAAGATGCCCCAAAACTTGACCTCATTATGTCCGCTCAGTAAGTTAACCCTTCTGATCTAGGTTTACCTACTGTAGTATAATCGGCTATCTATCTGTAAGTTTTAATCCAGTGGATTTCAGAGCTTAATATACGTGTAAATAATTTCCGAGTTTTATTTATTTCACATGATGTGAACTACTGCCTTATTTTTATTTATAGTCTTTAATACTTCATTGATTATATCCAGTAGTAGGAAATTAGTTGCGAAAATGTTAAATAATTCCTACGATATTGTTTTATTGTATGTCACTGTTTATTTCGGAAAATGTCATTGTGCAGATAAAAGGAGATATAAATATATAGTTATTTTTCGTGTAATTAAATGTCATTCCATTTTCCATTTAAAACCTACTATCTATGTATTTTTTAAAGATGAGCTAATGGAATCCGTGAATGAGATTGAAACTTACAAACAGTTGACCGAAGATTTAAGAAAACAAGGTGAGTTTTTAAGTTTGTTTCTGTCCTATTGATTATTCCAATAGTCATTAGAATTAAATTGTTAATGTAATACTGTCAATATTGGGAGTTCGTGTTAAATATTTGTAAAATACAAAGTAGTTGTTCATTTTTTATAATATGTCCTTACGTTTTAGCAAGTTTATCAATCACCTTTATTTACTGTATATACAACTCGGTGTTTACTTTCAATTTGTTTCTATTAATATGTTCACAGTATTTTGTAAGACATTGCTATTATGCCATTCTATGCGAAATTCCTTTTCCTATGATTACTTCTTAAGGTAAATTTCAAAACATTCTAATCTAATAGTTTATATGATATAAGTGTACTTTTTCTTGCTTATTTGAATTGTAGATGCCGCTAAAGCAGAGTTATTGTTATTGGTTCGAGGAGAATGTGATGCACTGAAAAGTCGAATCGCTGTAATTGAAACCGATGTAGCAACAAGTCGTGCTGATCATCATCGTCTAATATCTGAAACAAGAAGAGCACAAGCAGAAGCTAATGAATTGTTACTTGAACGTGACAATTTATCGAAACAAGTGAGTACTGTCCACGTCTTTTTACCAAATATACAAATTTGTGTTTAGTATTTGCAGTAAAACAGTCGTAACTTGTACTTTTTTAAACACATATTTTTAGTATCCCTTAAATGCCTTGGTGCAGCCGACGGTGGGAAAAGTCCTATCTCCTCGAAACGCACTCACATGGCCACGCGTATACAGTCACTGCTAGAGAAGTCCTACTCACTGCCTTCTCGTGGCAGGGTTGTTGCTTAACGAAATTGAGAGGACGAGAAGTGAATGTGCTGTGCTCTAACCGAGTTGGTGTATATAGAGGGTCTAGGTAGGCGAGTTGGGAAACCCTGATTCCAAACCAATGGTTTGGATGAGCGTCAGGGTCTTGAGGGAATGGATTGCGCATGAACGTATTGTTGGTCAACGGCTACCATGAGACTGCATCTCCTAACGTTTCTCCACCAACTTGTTGATTAGGTCTTTAAGTGAAAAGCTTGATTAATGGTCCTCCCAGAAAAAGACGTACTTCGGTTTTGTCGCCTGAGCAATATTCCAGCCTTCACACAAATCGAATGATGAAATGTGGCGGTTATATATATTTGATGCCTCCTTGTATCAATGTTTATGTTTAACTAAATAAATATTTTTAATTGGAATGCACATTTTTGCTGTCATAGTAATCTCGCTTCTGGTTACTGTTTACATAGAAAATCTACTTTTCAGATTCTTCTGTTTTTTAATATGTATCTTGAATATTTCACTGTACATATTTCGATTGGTTTTTTTAAAAATCTTACTAACTTCTCACTATTCACGGCATCAAATTTTTGTGTAAATTGTAAATTTGGATTTATAAAAGGGAATTGTAATTTTACACTTGATTTCTTTTTTTTTTCGCTTTTTCATATAAAAACTTCTAGCTAAATACTGCTAATAATCAAATAGAACATTTACAAAAGCTTCTTGCCAGCACACTTTTGTGTGATACCAAAGCACAGATTTCTAACAAGAATTCTATTTCCAACGAAATATCCACTGTAAATTCTTTAAATGATAATCCTTGTCCAACTAACCAATATCCTACTAAAACTAGCAGCGTGCCATTGCATGAACATTACGTAAGTAGTTTTTTTGTTACTAAATATATGCGTATATATCGTAGTTATTTTGACGTTAAAAAATATTTTGTTTATGATTTTGATTGGTATTTCTTAATCATTCAGTGATATTTCTAATTTTTGCCTAGTGATAAGTAGTATTGATAATAAACTTTTAATTGATCATAGAAAAAATGATCAATAATTAGTTTTGCGTTTTATTGCATCGATTATAACAAAATTTTCTTCAAATATTACTAAAATTATCACTAATTTACTTCTGTTCTTTTATTTTTACAGTTCTCATTATTTGCTGTCATTCCTGTTATGGTATTGATTTGTGCGTTCATCGTATATATTTTCTTGAAATTTGTTCGATGACCATCTGATTATATGACTTGTATACAACTGGATTCTCTATACTATTCTCTTGCTGTTAAAAAATCATACAATAGTAATAATGCTAATAATTCATTTTGATTAGTTTTGAAACCAATAAGGGTAGTTCAATGTTGGAAATTGAGAGAAAAGTGTGCATTCATATTTCAGTCAGCAATTTCGTGAATTTCTACTCACTATATTGTACTTGTATCAATATGTATTGTTTGTCTCGGGGATTATTCATCTTGGTTCAATTTATGGTCAGTTCATCGACCAAGCAACCACGTCTAACCATTTTTCATCAATAAACACGTTTTTTATACATTTGTGTAGTTGATATAAATCAGTATGCTTATTATTGTACATTTAAAACCAATGACTGTCAAAAGTTATTCAGTTTGTTTCTTCCCTGTCTGTAGTTACTTTAGAGATTTTCAAAAAGCCGCTTTTCCATTATTCTCTTCCTATTACTAGTATCATTATTGAAATGTATTTCCTGGTACCATAATAAATTTTGCTATTCTTTATCGACACAGTTAAACTGAAATTTCACTGGTAATAGTTTATATATATATATATATATATATATATAAACGCGTGATTTTGTTGAAGTATGTTTTTATGTATATATATGTAGAGATTTGTATTTATTAATTCTATTATCGCACTGATCTCTGATGACATCTTGCATTCTTTCCTCCTTTTATTATTATTGTTATTGTTATAAATACTACCGTAAACTGCATGCCTTTGTTTCTCACGGGCTTTCCATCGTTCTTTTCTTCGTACGTCTGTGTGCAGAACAAATATTGTCCCTTTCTTTTTTCACCTTTTTCGTTTATCTATGTAATAATCTGTTTACTGATAAACTAACTATGCTACCTAGGCACAAATCGCCTAATAATACAGTAAACACATCTTTAATTAGTATTATTACCACTATAAACTTGTTTCTTTCCATAGTTCTTTTTTATAATTCGTGATTTTTTTAAAATTGTCATAGCTACATCGCAAGCAGTGCATATAAAAGAATGAATGAGTTCAGTTTAAGTCATGTACGAATGCACATATATTGTTATATAAATAAATACGGTTATGATTTTTTGCTTGAAAGCATGTCTTATAACTTGGCAAATTCTTCTTTACAGAGACATGATTATTTCGCTAGCTTCTTTGTATCACAAACAATTCTGAGGACCGCTAAAAGTGTGTTAAATTCACCTGGATGAATAATTTTTGTTGTATGGTTCATAAATAATCAATGAAATATCAACGAGCTCTGGAAGTCTTTTCTGTTATGAAGCATTTTCTATCTTGTCTCTCGCTAAATTTCATTATGCTTTCGATTTTCGGATTGATAATGTAAAATACACATTTCTTTATATGCGTATGCACAAATGGTTACATATTTCCTGATGCCTTTTCGTTTTCAGAACAACTAAACCATAGCTCAAAACTAGTATGTGTGTTTAGATCCCCTGCGTTTGTATTGTTTTAAAATGAATTAAGTCTGCCTACCTATTATATATATATATATATATATATATATATAAACCGTCATATTTCATATTTCTGTCAATCAATTTATTGTAAATAATTATCGAGGCCTATGAAATTTTGCAATAAGATCCGATCTCTCGTAAATCGTCCGTTTCGCAAAACATGGTTTTGTTTAATAAGCTTCTACATTTTCCAAATACAAATTTGGCACGGATGCTTGTTAACTCACAATTTTCATCTTATGATCATAAGACTTTAGTGTGCATAATGGAGTTTCGTAACGCCTTAATTAAAACATTTAAAAGGAAACAAAATGTACGATTTTTAATGTATTTAAAATTTTTATTTAACCCTGTTCTCTTCAGACGACATATATATATATATATATATATATATATATATATATATATATATATATATATATATTTGAATCTATGAATCTCACGTTCATTTTCAATTGTTTAAATAAAAGAATTGTCTTGTATGTTATTGCTTAGTCTTATGAACACAGTATTGTTCAGAATTACAGGTGTTTATAAAATACTTTTCATTGTTAATATTAATATACAGTGTATAGTTAGGTAGTTACCGTTGTCCATAGTTTTTTTTATAGTTTCGATGCCCATATTACTGACTAAAAATTCAATGAATAATATGCTTTACTGTAGACTTTCTAGTCGAATCTAAATAACAATATAGTATATATTCTGAAAATAATTAGATTATACACCAATCTACAGACGTGATCAGGTTGATACAAACTGGATGTACAATACACAAAACGAAATATTTATAAATTATATTCTTCGGACACTTGTCACAAACATGTAATTCCGGAAATGTAGATGAAATGCATAATTCAATGCAATGTCATTTTAGAGTACTTACATACGCCCCAGAATGACTTGATACAGTCGAAGGTGGGAACAGTCCTATCTCCTCGAAACGCACTCACATGGCCACGCGTATACAGTCACTACTAGGGAAGTCCTACTCAATGCCTTCTCGTGGCAGAGGACGAGAAGTGAATGTGCTGTGCTCTAACCGAGTTGGTGTATATAGAGGGTCTAGGTAGGGGAGTTGGGGAACCCTGATTCCAAACCAATGGTTTTTGGATGAGCGTCAGGTTCTTGAGGGAATGGATTGCGCATGAACGTATTGTTGGTCAACGGCTACCATGAGACTGCATCTCCTAACGTTTCTCCACCAACTTGTTGATTAGGTCTTTAAGTGAAAAGCTTGAATAATGGTCCTCCCAGAAAAAGACGTACTTCGGTTTTGTCGCCTGAGCAATATTCCAGCCTTCACACAAATCGAATGATGAGGTGTGGCGGACATATATATATATATATATATATATATATATATATATATATATATATATATATATATATATATATATATATATATATATATATATATATATATATATATATATATAATGCTTCCTTATGACGGTGTTTGTTTAAATAATACGCGTGTTATCCCTCATTGAGAGGCATAGACCTCCCTTCAGTATTCTCCATCCAACACTGTCCTGGGCAATCCTTTTGAGTTGCTTCCAAGTGCCGCTCTTTCTTTTCATGTCTCCTTCGAATAATCGACTCTGTGTGTTCTTTGGTTTTTCTCTTCTCCGTTTTCCTTGAAGATTACAACTTAGTGCTTTCTTCGTGATGCAGTTTGATGATTTGCGTAATATATGTCCCACCCAACACTTCCAACGTCTTTTCCTAATTCCGTCGTCAGTTCGAAGTTGGTTTGTTTTCTCACAGTAGGCTGTTGCTGATGGTATGAGTTCAACAGACATTCGGTATCTTTTTTAACTGTAGGAATACTGTCCTTGCTTTGTCAATCCTCGCCTTCACGTTTGCATGGCATTTTAGATCACAGCATCGTTGTCTAATAAAAGAAAGTAAATATTAACTAGTGTGAGAACTTTAGAGGTATCAATCTATCAGCACCAGGAAAAGTTTTCAACGATTTTGAAGCGGATGGAAGATTCAGTAGATGCTTAACTTGGATTCTGTATGGATTAGTTTTGTACAGACCGAATCTCGACTTTACTTGTCACTTTTGAACAATCACGGATAGAATTTGTCACTGTACACCAACCTCCTTGATCATGAGCAAGCATTCTTTGACACTATTGTTTACCCGAGCGGATCATCAACATCATCCTGAATTCATACGACGGAGTACACTGCAAATACGTGCATGGAAGACAGCTGACATTCATTACAAGTGAGGACTCGAGTCAGACGAGACTACTTAATTTTCCCCTTTCTCTTTCTTCTGGTGGTTGATTAGGTTATGAAGACCTCGATTTCCGAGGGGAAATACGGAATACACTGGATGGCGTGGATGTAACTAGATGATTCGGACTTCGCAGATGACGTAGTTCTATTCAATACGTAGCAACAAATGGAGGTGAAGATAGCCAGTGTAGCAGCAGCCTGTTTGCAACTAATTCGTGATGTAAGCTGCAAATAATTAGACGATTTGATTTTTTTAAATTTTATGCTTTAAACTGAGTACAAACACATTTTGTTGGGGCTGTGTTCTCTGCGGTTGATAGTATAATCGTGAAGCATATAAAGTAATGCCTACGAAACACATCAAATGCAACAATTCACCTTTAGTCAGTGTATGATAAACAAATAAATTTACTAAAATATTTATATTTTAGACACATACATGCACAATTGATTCAAGCAACTCTCGTCAAATTCCATGTTGTGATCAACATTTGAAAATACTGTCTATTAAAGTAAGTTTCTCTTTTAAGAATAAATTGAGTCAGTCTACAATAGAATAAAATCAATGAATAAAGAAGTAATTCACAGGTAAATAAATGTACATGGCACATTGATTCATGTTAAAAAATGAAGCACAAATGGAGGTATTACTGAATAGATCACATTCTAAACATTCCCATAGAGTATTATATGAATGTAATTAGTAGTTTGCATAGTCTAAGTCATGGACTGATTTTAGTTAGGCAACTGATAGAAACCAGAGAAGCATTGAACAGCTATTCCATCTTAGTAAACGACTCCTCCTCAATGTGCAATCATGAATAAATGAGATCAGTCCTAAATGTGAAGTCGAAAAATTGAAAAATCTTTACAATCCAACATCATCTCAACCTCAGATCAATACCGTTTATTTTGCATAATTCACTCGTTTTTGTCTCGATTATGTAACTATTATATTGTGTTTCGGTATATTGACGAGAAAGTCTGCATATAGTTTGCTTGGTATATTGTAGATAATGGTTTTAACAATGTCAATTGAACAGAGAACGCATACTACCAACCTGTTCTTCTCAGTAGACTGTAAACTGATAGTTCATCACCGTCAAATCAATAGAACATTAGTGGTTTTTATGTTTGAATTTATTTCTTGCTTAATATATTCCATAATATTGAACTCGGATCGCTTTCACATCAGCTGAAGCAATATAGCTACCCTGTTCAATGGGACCAGTCTACTGTAATGCTGTTATCTTATCTCGATTTCTTGTTATTTCCTTCTGTAACACCAACTTGTTTGTTTATCTTTTTGAAATTTCGTTGTCTGATTGTTTGTGATTCATGTGTACATGTATGGAAAACTTGAGAACCAAAATGTTACCAGGTGTTGAAATATATCTGTATAGCAAGACATTTGATCTGTTCTGTGTATCCTATGTTTATTTATTCATCAGCATTGGTTATAATTACCTGTCGGCTTTGCGGTGTTATCTCATTTCTCGCTTCAACGTAACTTGTAAAACGTTTTTAAATTATGTTCTATGCACATAACCATCACATGTAGACTTAAATGAGTTTCATCCGCCTTACTCGAGCCCACATAGTTTTCGCCACTCCTCGTTTATCTTACTGTGTTTATTCATCACATACCGAAATCAAGGAAACTTACGAATGAGTATGGTAGTTTTACTAATATCATAACCAATTTGGAGATTGTATGATGCTGGTTAATTATTTCTGTAACAGGAGAGACAATGCGACAAATTAATGTATTTCCCAATTATTACTACTAATATGAATTCAATACATTGTCAAAATATAAATGTTGAGACTTATCTGTTTTGTTTTTTACTGTGTTTTATTGTTTTCCGCTATGGGTGTCAATGGGTAGGTGGTTGAATGTTGTGAGTGGGAACATTTCTTAATGTGACAAAAACAAATGTCTGAGATTAACTGATAACAACGTGACCGGTTGGATTTTCAGTTGCGCCGTTTACTTGCTTTTTATCTGGTTGATGGAGTAAAACGAAATTTAGTATGTTTGCTTAATTGTTCATTATAATCAGTGGTCAGTCGGCTAATTGGTTTATTTAGTTGTTTAATGTATTTGTTTGTTTTAATAAGTACCGTAATTTAAAATGAAAGCTAAAATCACGTCTTAATAAATTGGTCCCTTAAATGCCTTGTTATAGCCGAGTGTGGGAAAAGTCCTATCTCCTTTTCGAAACGCACTCACATGGCCACGCGTATACAGTCACTGCTGGGGAAATCCTACTCACTGCCTTCTCGTGGCAGGGTTGTTACTTAATGAAATTGAGAGGACGAGAAGTGAATGTGCTGTGCTCTAACCGAGTTGGTGTATATAGAGGGTCTAGGTAGGCGAGTTGGGAAACCCTGATTCCAAACCAATGGTTTGGATGAGCGTCAGGGTCTTGAGGGAATGGATTGCGCATGAACGTATTGTTGGTCAACGGCTACCATGAGACTGCATCTCCTAACGTTTCTCCACCAACTTGTTGATTAGGTCTTTAAGTGAAAAGCTTGATTAATGGTCCTCCCAGAAAAAGACGTACTTCGGTTTTGTCGCCTGAGCAATATTCCAGCCTTCACACAAATCGAATGATGAGGTGTGGCGGACATATATATATATATATATATATATATATATATATATATATATATACATTTGATGCCTCCTTGTGTCGATGTCTCTATTTTCCAAATAAATTCATAGATTATTTTATTATTATAGTTAGGTCTTTACTATAACTAGTGGTGGTGTGAATTCCGACTTCTACCACAACTGTTATCCATCTAGAAAATTTTTGACACGTTACTTTGTGTTCAATGTCGATAGAGTTTTAGGTAATTGTAAATATCAGTGTGATAAATTTCGGATAATACGATCATCTGTATTCTTTATTATTGATATTATTTTATGAAGAGTCATTGAAGAGATCTCCATTCAACGAATTTACGATACAGCTTGTTGCGTAATTAATTAGAAGCAAATAGTTTCTCTGAGTTTGTTTTCGTTGATGAATAATTCATTTTCACTTGACTACATAATTGCTTATCTTTTGTTGGAGAGGACCGAGTTTTTATGTTGTTGGCAGTAGTTTTAATACCGAAAGTTTGAATGTTGAAATTATGTACGCAGTTGTTTGTTTGTGTGATTTTGCGATTTGTGTTACCTACTTTGACGAAAGTATCCTTACGAAATCACTTATCTTCAATGGAATTATTACATGGAGATGATTTTACCAAACTTTTTGTACAATAGAACAGTGATTTCCACAAAATTATACAAAGCGCAGAATAATCGAAATACTACTAATTAAATGATAATTAATGATTTGTGTGATCGAGTTAAATTTTGAGATTTTAGTTGGACTTTCTACAGTTGATATAATCGTTAGTAGGACAGCAGTTGATCGAAGACATTTTGTTGACCCCAAATGCTCTGGTATGGTCGAGAGTTGGGAGGGCCCGCCCACACACGAACACGCGTCTACAGCCTCCGCCAGGGAAGTCTTACTCACTACCTTCCCGTGGCAGGGGTGTTTTTCACGAGAATGAGAGGACGACAAGCGAATGCCCGGCGCTTTAACCGGGTCCCAAACCAATGGTGCACATGGGCTCCAGTATCCTGCTGGAACAAATGGTGTATGAACCAATTTTTGGTCACCGGCTTCCATGGGACTGCATCTCCTCACGATGCTCCACTGCTTTGTGGATCAGGCCTTTAGGTCAAAGGCTTGGAGTGTGGCCCGTTAAGTAAACCACTTGCTTCGGTCCGGGCATCCGGGCAGTATCACAGCTCACACACAAATAAAATGAAAATGACGATATTTACTGAAAATCCTATTTACGCTTCGATTAACAGTTAAACAGTTCACATTATTATATACTACGTCACTTATTCACTCTTTTATTTCCACTTTGTGTATCTTTATTTCTCGACTTAAACAGCAGCTCGCTTATGGTGGAAATTCGGTTCTATCTAAACGTTCTCGAGTCACTGTCCAGTTGAAAATTGTATGTTACCATCGAATATGAGTACTGAAGCAGTTTTTCTGAAACCACGTGCACCATTCAAACTGGCTGCCTTCAACGTTCGCATACTCATACAGGTCAGACAACAGATAGGGCTGGCTATGTCTTTGGAAAGTCTTAAAATCGACGTTTGTTGTCTATTAGAGACCCGTATTCAAGACTGGCGAAGTACTACAAATTCGCTCTCCATATGTCGCTTCAAAAAGCTTGTTTTACGTGCGTTTATCCGGGGACCCTGTGGCATCTTCGTCTGGTCTTGCTGGCGTTGGTGTCGCACTAAGCGCTAGAGGTGAGGCAGCACTAGTCGATTGGATCCCTGTGGTGGTCGGTATTTGATATAATCCTTAAACTTCGTATAATGTTCGTCGCGATAACCGTTCTATATAACGTACCAACGGTATATTAATCAGAAGGCAAATACGAAGTGTCGATTACGTTTATTGCGAAACCACACACATATATCCAAATGTACAGATGTGTTAAACAAGCATAGGAGAGTTGTGCCGGAAGGCAAGCAAGCGAGCGAGAGCCAGAGCAAGAGCGTGACGAGACCGTGCGAGCGAGTGAGCGATTGAGTTCAATATGAATAAAATGGACATATATATATACCATGTGAAATGAATGAGTAATCGAACCGAATAAGCGGTTAGTAGTAAGATTAACAGAGTGAATAAATGCGTAGGCAGTAATCAATATTCAAGCATACGTATTTCATACAAGCGCAAAATAATAATAAGGATACAATAAATTGTTATAGCGCGGATGGCTTTGTCCGCTAAATAAGTTAACAAAAAGGGCTTAACTGGGTTAAATGAAAATAAACCCATTAGCACGTGAGTCGCTATATCCCCATTAACAGTCGGTTATGTGCTGTTAGATTGGAAGGTTCCATCAAAGTGAGAAGAAATCGGCGTGAGAAACGATGTCTTTTCATCATCTCTGCCTACGCCCCGACAGATTGCAACCCGGATGCTATCAAGGATGAATTCTACCACCAGTTGACTGTTCTTCTCCAGAAAGTGCGTTCGACAGATATTGTAGTACTAGCCGGAGACTTGAATGCTCAGGTCGGGCGTCTAGGCACAGAAGAGAATCGTTTAGGTGGTCAATGGGGACTCGTTGGTCGCAGGTCAGATAACAGGGACCGTCTACTGCAACTTTGCAGAGACCGCAACCTGTTTCTGGCTAACACTAACTTTCGGCACAGTCATCGCCGATGTGCCACCTGGCGTCCTCCCTCTGCAACAAAAGCCTGGACTCAGATTGATCACATCGCGATCAGCTACCGCTGGCGTGGTTCTGTACAAGACTGCCGCTCCTTTTGGAGTACCTATCTGGACTCTGACTACGCCTTGGTCTGAGCCAATCTTACCTTACTTTTCAGTGGACAGCGAAGTGACCGCCACCAACGGATTGATGTTGCAACTTCTGTTGCTAGTAAGTATCGAACCGAGCTAGTTTCTAGGCTAGCTACCATTCCACCGAAAAGTATAGATGAGCATTGGTT